CATGTGTTCCACAAAATGATTTTAATGATTGTGATTTAAATAGAGGACAGAAAAGAAGAACAAAACAATAAACAATTGAATAAAGCGCAGTCACGCTCACACATACTCGTACGTACATACATATGATAAGGTGGCGCAAAGTTACAAATTTTTCAGGCCAAATTTCTAGGCTTGGAAAGTCTGCACAAGGGGCAGTGCGAAAAGGTCACGGATCCGACCACACTCCGATTCCCCGCTCAAGCGGTGTCCCGGTCAACGTGACGTCGGGGACCGGGGAGGGGCGGTATATCCCCCATCGTGAAGCCAAGGTGAAATCCGTGTCCAGCGAGGGAGCCCACTAGTACGGACTACGTAGCCACGCAGCGGATATAGCGCAGATATGGATACGGGACACCCGTTCGGTACACCGGTACTACAGACAACGCCAGCAGCAGTTCAGGGTTCTGAAGATAAACCCAAAGAGACAACCAAAAGGGTTCGGGACCCCGCAAGCCCGGCGAGATCGCAGAGATCGACGCCGCCAAATAAGGCATCGCAGAACCTAGCGGAGCTGGGTAGACTTCTGGAGGAGATTAAGTCTCGGATGCTGGACAAGAGCACGCGCCATATAAAGGAGGCGACCAGAAGCCTGTTCGTGCGCACAAAGATGCTGCATTCGGCCATACAGGATGCAAACCAGGCAGCCGCAGCGGGTAGCAGCGACATTCAGGAGATCGCGGAGGGCGTAGTCCTCTGCTCGAAATGCGCACAGAGCACTCAGAGCGCGGACAAGGAGCAGCAGACAACGACCGAGCCGTGGCGAAGGCTAAGCCAGCCCGTTGTGTCGGATGGCCCTGTTGGGGAGCAGGCTCCAACGCGTATGCGCCCAGCAGGTCACAAAAGCGCACCCAAGAAGCAACAGAGGAAGGCCCAGATAAAGCCACACGAGGAGAAGGCGACGCACAATGCCCCAGCCAACAAGAGAGCCTAGAAAACCATGATAGCGGGTGGAGGGTAGTGGCCAAGTAGACCAGGAAAGCGCACCGCGCACGCCCTGACGCGGTCGTAGTGCCTGAGGACGGCAAGACGTACAGGTGCTGGCCATGGTGACCAGGAGGGAGGACAACCAGCTGTCGGACCTGGGAAGCTGCGTCTCCAGGGTACGCAGCACCTTCAACGGCAATCTTTTGCTGGAGGTGGCAAAAGGCAGCTCAGAGAGCGCGGATTCCATGAAAGAGAGCATCGCCCGCGTACTTGGCGACGCAGCGGCAGTGCGTGCGCTGACAGAGGACTCGAAGTTGGTCGTCTTGGAGATCCGCGATCTCGACTCCCTAGCGACAGAGCGTGAGATCTGTACCGCCATCACGAGCCAGTTCGGCATAGAGGAGGGACGAGTCAGGGTGCGAAGCCTGCGACGCGGCTACGCGGAGTCCCAACGGCGGTGGTCAGCTTGCCTTTTTCCCTGGACAAAGCAGTAATGCAGCGGAGACAGGTGCGCATCGGCTGGACCGTCTGCAGGATCCGCGAAAGAGGAGGACTTCCGAGGTGCTACAGATGCCTGGAACCTGGGCACATTGCGAGCAGCTGCAGGAGTGCAATAGATAGGAGTGGCTGCTGCATCAAATGCGGCCTGGCACCAGGCCGGCAGCAAAAGCTTCCCGGCCGCGGGCTCAGTCAACGCAGCAAGACATGCGGTTGATCCAGCTCAACATGAACCACTGCACTGCCGCGCTGGACCTCCTGCAACAGACGGTGCGTGAGCGGGGATCGTAGATGGCAATCCTCAGCGAGCCCTATAGGGTTCCCAGCTGCAGCAACTGGGCCACAGATGGCTCGGGCAGAGCTGCGTTGTGGACATGTGGAGTGGAGATGCCCCAGATCTGCGACATAAAGTCGGCCGATGGGTTCGTCCGAGGCAAAGTAGGCGGTAAGTGGGTCTATAGCTGCTACCTGGCGCCCAGCCTCCCGCTGGAGACCTTCAGCCGAATCATCGACGAGCTGATCGGAGACCTGCGAGGACGAAGCGGCGTCGTGGTCGGGGGCGACTTCACTCCTGAGCTAAGGGAGTGGGGATCCTCCCTAAGCAACGCTAAAGGACGCACGGTGCTGGAGGCCTTCGCCACCTTGGACATGGTGCTGCTCAACGAAGGATCCCAACAAACGTTCAGCAGGGGAGGCATGGGGTCAGTCATTGACATCACATGCGCCAGCAGCGCGTGGGCCAGAAACTCCAGTTGGAGAATCAGCGACGCCTACACCGCTAGCGACCACGAGGCCATCGAGTGCGTGTTTGGCGGACCGGATCGGGGAAGAGCAGCCCCTACGCAGCAAAGGAAGGCGTATCGGCAGGTCACGCTAAGGACACAGGCCTTCGCAAGCGCCCTCCGGACCCACACGGCATCAGAATCTGAAAGCTGTAGAAACAGCAAGTGCGCAGGTCGGTGGCACTACGATACGCTCGCAGAGGGCAATTAAGTACCTCGGGGTGCTCATCGACACTCGACTCTCCTTCAAGGAGCACTTGGAGTACGTGCAGAGGAAGGCCAGCGGAACCGCAGGAGCGCTCTCGCGAATGCTTCTCAACACCAGAGGCCCGAAGCAGGCAACGCGGAATCTCCCGACGAGTGTTGTGACTTCGCAGATCCTGTACGCCGCACCCGCGTGGGCGAAAGCCGCTCAGGCCGACCCACATGCGAGGCGTCCCCTAAGGATCGCGTGCTCGTTCCGGACTGTGTAGGACGAAGCAGCGCTGGTCATCGCTGGGCAAGTCCCACTCAGGGAGCTGATAAGAGAAAGAGAAGAGATCCATACCGCCGGCGGAAGCGAGTCGACAAGAACCGAGCTGAAGGCTACAGCAAGGAGGAAGAGCATCAGTAGATGGCAGACCCAGTGGGACGGTTCAACTAAGGGGCGCTGGACATATTCCCTCATCTCGAAGCGGCAAGACTGGATCGTGAGGAAGCACGGCCAGGTAGATTTTTATCTCACCCAGGCGCTTTGTGGACACGGCTGCTTTCGCAGCTACCTCAAGCGCTTCGGCCATGACACGGAGGACTGGTGCCCAGCGTGCGGCACCGGCATAGTGGAGGAGTCCTCTTCGAATGCCAAAGGTTTGATCACGAGCGTCTCCGCCTGGAGGCAGTAGTAGGCGCCAGGATCTCTACCGAGACCTTGGTGCCGATCATGCTGGCCGAGCCAAGGGCATGGGAAGCGGCCGCAGAGTTCGCCTCTAGCGTTATTCGAACTCTAAGAGTGTTGGAGAGGAGGCGTAAGCAGGAGACGGAGTAGGAACCTTCGAGCGTGCGAAGCAAAGCTTTGCGGCAGTACCGCGCGCGTTGGGCGCCCACTCCCACTCCCAAATACGGCCCGCATTAAATTATAGCCACTAGTGTAAGAATGTAGTATTAAAGCAAGAAAATAGAATAGAAGGAATAAACGAATGAATACAAAAAGACGAGAAGGAACGTTTTAGACGCTTCTTACGCGTCACAACTTTTATACCCGGCACTCAGTACTACATCTGCACCTTAGCGGTTATTTGTCAAATTTACCATTTTTTCTTCATCTGTCATATACATCAACAACACTTCTCACGCCAACACGCTCCTTTAGCTCGCCGCCCTTCCCTAGACCCATACACTGCAGACTTGCGGCAGAGGCAGAGGCAGCGCCCGCAAAAAAAAAAACAAATATAAGCGGGGTGGGTTAAAAGTCGGCAGAGGCAAAGCCAGAGGGACGGCAGAGGCAGGGGCCGAGTAAAGCAGAATCAGAGTGTGAATGAGAGAATGTAAAAAGAACAACAAAAGCTGCGGAACAGGGTGGGTTTAGCCACTGCAAATTAATTTCTTCATTTTGGCTATAATAATGATCCAATCGAATCCCAATTAGGTGATCTGATAGATATGGCCATTCTCTACGGAATGTCGTTTTTAGTTTTCTTTTATCTTCAAAACTGTAGGTTTGGCAGGTTTTCGCCCTTTTGCGGAGGCGGAAGGGGGCGGGGTAATTTTTGAAATACAATGCTCTTATAGTCTCTGAGAACTAGCCGACAAACAAGACGGACGGACAGACGGACAGACGGACAGACGGACAAACAAACATGGCTCTATCGACTCGTCTATTGATGCTGATCAAGAATATATATACTTCATGGGGTCGGAACGTTTCCTTCTGTGCGTTACATACAACCGTTATTCACACAAATACAATATACCCTATTTACTCTTCGAGTACCGGGTATAAAAATACATACATATGTATGTACACAAAGATAGTTAGATAGGGCAAGACGGCAGCACTGCGTTGCGTTTCGCCGTGGTGCGACGGTGCGGCAATGCTTGCAAGGTGTTGGCAAGGTGGCAACGCGCATGCGCAAAGCAAGGTAAATCGGGAGAGAACTTTAGATCAAGATGCCACGCCAAGCGGTGTTGAGGGTGGTGGCAGGTTATGGATGGGTGATTAGAAGGAAAGACAAAGTTACAAAAGCAGCAGAGAGCAGCTGATGTGCTGGAAGCGCATGGGAGTAATAGAGACAGTCAACGAACAGGATAGGGTGTTGACGGAGAAGGGTAGAGCAAGGGCAGGGCTAAAATTTGTTGTTGTTGGGGAAGCTGCAAATGGCGGAATGACTGATGATGATGATAAACGCAAGCGAACACGTGTAATTAATTACATTAATGCACGAAAATATGTACATATAATACATATGTATGTATGTACATATTTATGAAGAAAATACAACAACTTGTACTACATATGTTCGTGTGTGTTGGAGAAATTGCCAACAAAACCGTTCGGTCTTGTAAAAATTTGTTTTTGTACAAAAAATATGTATGTATATGTATATAAAAAACACACACGAGAGGCCAGACAAGAGAGAAAAGAAGTCATAAAAGACGGAAAGAAAGTTTTTTTTTCGAAGATAATAATGGAGATGCGATGCACTGGGGCAGACTACACGCACACACGTCCACTAAGTTATGCATATTTGAATCTGGAATAGAACAGTTCGATCAACTTACCTTTCCTTCTCGCTTCCCCTTTTGATAATTTTCACTAATGTGAATGAATTCTCGAGCGGGATGGAGAAGGGTGGTTGCCTGTTCTTCTTTTGTTGTTATCGCTGTCACCGTCGCTCCGTTAACAGCCCGCAAGCAGCAGCAGACACAAATCTAGGAATCGGAAATTCTGCCTGCAAGTGCCATGGGAATCGGCAGACGAATTAACTCCAAACTACAGATGCCTCTTCCATTAAGTTGGTTTTTTGCTCTTGTTTCACACACAACATTTAGACAGAGATACCGAAACGAAGGCACAAACTTTGCAAACGTCACTCTGTTTCTCCTCCTCACACTTGCGCGCAAACACACGTACACAGGCAGACACGCACACACCTCTTTCACACTCTCCCACCTCCTTCTTTTATTTATCTGTTTCTGGCCGTGTGTTTCGAGATCACTTTTCAGTAAAATAGCACTCGAAAAAAAAAAACATGCAGTTTTCATTCAATGGAGTATGTTACTCTGTTTAGCTATCCACGACTACGACAGTCCAACTAGACTCTGTCTATTTTTCCAGGTCCAGCCCAAAATCTGTTTGGGTACCATATCTGTTTATCTGTGCACGACAATAAGTGTGACCACGCATTTATCGATAGTATATACCGCACAACCATAAAAAATATACCGAACTATACCTTCTCATTTTAAAAATGTACCGTAAATATAGCGTACGTCTTAAATTATTGTCCTCGGTTTTAATGTTCTATTTAAAATTACTAGATTGACTATTAAATCAATTCTACATAACATTGCCCAATTTTCATTACTTTTTTTGGATTGTTTGCAAAATAAAACCAAGTACTCAGATCATAAAAAAAGGGGCCGCTGGAAACATCAGGGATGATATTCGCATTCGAAATGTTGTGAAACACAAACTACTTTCTAGCCGGGCAGTACTTAGCTTTTTAGGGTCAATAAAACAAATCATTATATGTAAAGCCTAGTACTCATATCGAGGGGCCACTAAAAAAAATTCAGGAAGGCTATTCGTATGGAGCCGATAAGAAATTTTGCGTTACTTCCTAGCGGCTGTACGCCAGACAGGACTCAGATCGACAAAAAAAAACAGGCCGATTAAATCAAGAAGTCAGCCGATAGTATTTCGTGGTATTGATAGTATTTGAGTGCTATTCATGGTATTTGTGAGATATTCGTTGGAGTGTTGCTAGCAGCTCGAAAAACAAAGATCTGTTTTAATTTCCGAGAGGGTACCTTGCAAACAGAGAGTATAGTTATCAAGCAAATGGAGGCAACAATGCCACTGAAGTTGATAGATAAATGACCACCGTGCTTCTAAACGAGCTTAAGGCCATCAAACGGCAAAAAAGGAAACAATTATTATAGATTAATGAGATTATATTGAATTTATTTGCATTTTTAATTTGTTTAACTTATTTGAACGCTAGTATCTTCATGTTGCCAAGACACAGACCGGGCTGGGCTGTTAACAAAATGGGTTAAGTTGTTTTCCTTTTGGGACCACGTACTGCTTCACAGGGTCATGCCGTGGAGGGGCGAAGGAGGCGATTTTGACTCAAAACTATCCAATTTTGAAAAGGAAGGGTGCTTGGATGCGCCGTTTAACAACCTTGCAAAGGGCGCAAATATTCCTTGGCACAGCTGCAGATGTTATTCAAAGACATATGCAAAATCTCTGTCATATTTTCAAACTGCGGAATATGCAAAGGGTATTGTTTTATGGGTTTCCATAAATACACACATATTTATATGATTTATAATACTGTATAGACAAACGATTCTCCTGGTTTCTTTCCTGCAGATATGGGTTTAATCAAATTTTGTTACGAACCTGTTTTGGTGTTGGGGCAAGGCCGGCTAGCCAGTCATCCCAGGGCTGACTTCTTCCCAGGCCCCCAGGTCGCACAACAAACCAACTCTTCGGACATCTCGAACAAATACGATAGCAAAACGACAAATCAAAATCAATGCAACGGACTTTACTCTACATCTAACGGACAATCATCTCTTCGACACAGACGTGGACCAGTTTGAGGTGCCGATGGTCTACCTCGGGCGTACTCTACTTGAGATCCGACTCAAAACAACTACGAATCTCCTCTCCCAAGTGCGGCGGCCTTTCTCCTTCTCGCCTTTGTGGTCCCCTTTCCCCGCCCATACTAAACACACTAGCACTTCATTTCAAACGTTATAATATTTAACTCAAAAACTAAATATATACTTAACTATAAATCCCTACACTATTTTGTTGTTGTTGATATTTTATGTTACCGCTCTACCCTTGGGTAGAGGGGGATTATTTGGCCGCCCGCCTTTACAAGGTGGAAATCGCCACTTCGAGATAGGTAACTTGTTTCAGTTTTGCTCCTATACTTACCTGGCGTAGAGGTTATGTTCCCCACGTGCTTGCAGTGTGACCGCGTAGTTACGACTAATCCCTACACTAAATCTTGGTGGCGCGTCCGCCTACTCCCGCCTCTTCAACTTATATTTTTTGGTGAAATAAATAAGTGTTAATAAATATAAAGAAATAAACGTGAATATAAGTGCAACGACTACATATAAATCCTCCTCCTTCGATCATGCAAGAGCCGCCAATCCCACTAAAAGCTATCTCCTGCATGGATCCATTTTGCATTCATTGTTTTATTAACCTTTTATTCAATTTTCACACATTTTCAAATAGGTAAAAAAAACACAACACAGCTGCCTGATAAGTGTGACCGTTCGGAATGAGTTTTCACATCTGGTCACACTCTGCTGCTAGGAAAAATATATTGCACATTTTGCTAGCAAGCGTGCCAATAAGGTATTTTATTAAGGGTCAGGCGGTACATCTTATCGATAAGTCCGCGGTTACATTGTCCTTTACTTATCGCCAAATTGCCGATCACTACAATAAACTAAAAAAATTTGATTCGCGAAAAAATAAAAAACTTAATAAAGTTTAAAATGCCCGATGCTGAACAATTGCCTGATGGCTGGGAGAAGCGCACAAGTCGCTCCACAGGTGAGCAAATCTAAACAAAAAAAACTGACGTTAAACAGTTTTGGTACACAATTTTCTGATGACCGGTAAAATCATTATTTTTTTTGCAACAAATTTGCAACATGTGAAACGCACGCAGGTCTTAGCTATTATCTGAACGTGCACACCAAGGAGTCGCAGTGGGATCAGCCCACCGAGATAGCCAAAAAGTCGGGCTCGAACGCTGCCGATGGACCGGCCGAGGTGCAGTGCCTCCACTTGCTGGTGAAGCACAAGGGCAGCCGACGGCCGAGCTCGTGGCGCGAGCAGCATATCACACGGACCAAAGAGGAGGCCCAGCTGCTACTCGAGGTCTATCGCAACAAGATCGTACAGCAGGAGACGACATTCGAGGAGCTGGCCCGGTCCTATTCCGATTGCAGTTCGGCCAAGCGCGGCGGCGATCTCGGCAAGTTTGGACGCGGTAAGTCGCGACAGAAAAGTTTGTGTATTTATTTTTGCATGGCATGACATGACCCTGAAGCTCACAAATCGTAACTGCGTCATTTCCGGTTATCTAGGTCAAATGCAGCCACCCTTCGAGAAAGCCGCCTTCGCCTTGAATGTAGGTCAACTCTCGGGCATTGTGGATACCGACTCGGGCCTACACATCATACAGCGCAAGTCCTAGGCACCCAGCATAAGCATGAAAATTAAAACAATTATTAATTAAGTTGAAACAATACAAAGGCGCTACAGCTGAAGGAAAATTAATGCTTGAAGGTTACTTCCATGCACGAAAAGAAGGAGAAAGAACAGCTAAACGGCGGTCCATGAGGATAAAATGTAAAAGGATTTAAGTCGCTTCCCAGATCCCAGTTAAAATTTTAAACCTACGAAAATGCTGCGCGCACCATTAGAAGGGATAAATTCAAACATATAAACAAACATATACAAAAATACCAACATTCATTTCAAAATAGAACTGTAGTTTCGAATTGATTTTCATTAGCCAATGTTCAGTTTGCCGGCCAGTAGTTTGGCCCCCAAAGTCTTCTGGCTTCTCAGCAGCTGGCTGACCTCCGGCTCGGCCTGGATGGCCGTGCGGCAAGTTTGCAGCTGTTGGGGTCGCTCTTCGACAAGCTTCAGCAAAACGAAGCAGCCACGATTCACCGACAGCCAGGCCTTGAGCTGCGAGCAAAAAGGGGGGCACAAAAATTAGTTAAGAGGCACGTGGAAAACGGAAAGAGAGACATTAACTTACCCCATCGCTGGTCAAATGTTTCAGTATCTGTTCGCCAAATGATTGCCCCTCCTCGACCTGTTGCTTTCCATCGTTCTTGAGGATCTTCTTAAGCACAATGTGCATGCCGGCCTCCTCGATGCCCTTGACCAGCGGCTTGGCCGGCTCTTCCTTTGTAGGTTTAGGTTCTTTCTTGGCCCGTTTAGGCTTAACAGTGCCATTTTCGGCTTCCTCTTTGTCAGGTTTATCCTCCTCCTGCTCTGATTGATCGTCATCGTCGTCACTGCTTTCCTCGATTTTGGTCAGTTTCTTGCGCTGCTTTGTGGCCTCAGAAATGATATCCTCCAAATCCTGATGGCCCTTCTTCTGCTGTGACGGCTGTGCACCATCGGCGTCCGCTGTTATGCGCCAATCCGGCTGAACCACAAGTTGAGCGAGAGCTTCCACAGCCTTTTGATAGGAGACACCTTGGACTGCAAGAGACGGTATGTAATTAATGGGCAGGAGAGAGAGCTAGAGAGGAGACCATCCTGTGTAACTTACTGTGATTCAGAATATCTGCTGTGACCAAGCCAATGTGACTGTTGGACAGCCAGAAGGCAGCGTCCTCCACAATGGCCTCGGCAATGGGCGCCTCAATCTGTTCGAATATTTCCTTGCGACGCGTCTCCTTTTCTTTTTTTCCAAACGCCAGTCCCTCCTCGATGACGCGTATGAATGTGGGGTGAAAACAGGTGGTATCGCCCGGTGCCACCAGCCATTGGACAACCCTGCGGCCATATTGATTGCCCACCAATTGCTTCAAATCGCCATGCAGATGATCGTAAATGGCCTTTTTGGTGGCCTTTGTGTCATCGAGGGCGTTCAGCAGCGAGATGAGAAAAACGTGGCCATGCTCGTGGGTGGCTATCTTCAGCAGATGCTCCTTAATGTTCTTGATGATTGCCTGAAAAATACGAGAGAATAGACGGCATTGAAATAACGAAACCCGTAAGCGCCTTGGAGCTCACTTACGCGACGATTTTTGGGAGTGGATTTGTAGAAGCAAATGACGGCCGCCTCGCTGCCCTCCTTGGTGCTGAGCATGTGCGGCACAAGGGCGGCAAATGCGGTGACCGTCTCCTCCAGCTTCTCCTCCTCATCCTCGCAGGCACGCAGATACTCGAGCATTACGCAGTGAACCAGGGAGCTGTCCACCAGATTTTTATTGGCCACATGATCCAGATTGGCCTTGACAGAGCCCAGAATGGAGGCCTTCATGTTGGTGGCCTCCTTGTAGGTGTCGCTCAGTGTTTTCACACTCGAATCCTTGGCCTTCCGATACAGATCCCCGTAGAACTCCTGCCGCATATGCGTGCGCTGCTGACGCGTGCCGCCCTGGTACATAACATCCAGCAGACCGCTGGCAATGCTGTGCCCGGCCAGGCGGACAATGTGCCCGAAGAGGCTGTCCACCAGCTTACTTTTGGTGGCTGAGGCGCCGTATTTAAGCATACGCTGGACACAAAACTGAGCGTACTTCGACTGGCACATCTCGACGGCGAAGGGCAGCAGCTTGTCGGATATTTCGACACGAAGAGCCGGTGTGGCATGCTTCAGCATGCACTGGAGCACCCTGGCTGTGTCGTGGGCTTTGACTATCTTCGAAATGGTGTCCCCCACATTGAGAATCTTGAACATTTGCTCCACCAGCTGGTCCTTGTTTTCGGTTTTGCGGCTATTCAGTGACAAGTGACAAGTTCAGTGACAGTTAATTTGGGAAGAATTGAAATCTATGTGCCGTCTCGTGCGTGTGTTGCCTTACCATCGGAGCTTCTCGTACATCTGCTTGGCCTCCTTGGTGATCTCGTAGGTGTCGCGGGTGCTCTTGCGCTTCAGCTTGAGCTCCTTTTTCTCCAGCTTGAACTTGTTCCAGTCCTGCTTCTCGGGCTCCCCACTGCACACTGGTTTGCCAGCAAATTTGTTAACACCACCATCTGACTTTTTGCCAAATTTCGGTGCGGATTTGAACTTATCATTTGATTTCTTGTTGCCAGGCTTTAAGTTCGGCTTTGGACGGGGCGGCCGGGTCTTGTCAGCTTCTTTGGAACTGACCATGTTTGCTTTTATATGACGCTTAGGTAAACTTTGAAGTCAAACAAAAAAATAATGTCTCCTACACGTGCTGGCGGTGCAGTGTGACCAGGTCTTGTCTTTTGTGCACAGCTAACATTTCTTGAGAGGCAAATAATACCAGAAAATAAAGGGGTAACAACGTAGCATTTTTATAATATAATTCGCATATTTTGAATAGCGATTTAATTAAAAAAAAAAAATAATAATATAATTCGTCGGTGTCCGTTCGGCAAACAACTCTTTTTAGAGTTCAAAATTTTCAGTAAAATATTTTGGTTTTCTAATATTCCCCCAACATAATCTAAAGTACCTGGTCAGTGCGACCACTAACCATATAGTATAGGTTAGTGGTGCAACCATCCAATTTCGCGATTAAATACCAAAAAAAATTAATATAATTTAAATTCTGAATTATCAATAAAAATTAAACTATATAGGGTATACAACAAAATTTTTCTATCGTTTAATTATTGTTGCTCGTCAGTACACTTCACTAAAAGAGCGTGAGACCAGCATTAAGTACCCTCTGGGTAGCGCATGTAGTGGGAGCGAAAAGTACATATGTATCATTTGAATATGTATTCTCAAGTACCACTGGCAGCATATACATAGAAACAATAAATTCACACTATATAAACCATAATTTCCTGTATAACTGCCACCAAACTTCAATCTTGCCAAAAAAACAAGAAAAAACCGTTCGAATATATTTAGAAATAGCTATAAAAAGGCAGCATTAATCTCACAAACATCTCATCAAGTGTAATAGGGACGCAGAGAGGGAGCGAGCCGGGGCGATAGTTATCGACAGATACATACGATATGCAAACATCGCCGTGTTCGTGCCAGCAGCCAGTGCTGTAGTTGTATTTGTAATTTTACTCTACTGTACATTCGCCAATACCACGGCAAATAGCTCTCTTCTTCACATTTACTGTTGTTTTTTCTTTTTCGCGGCAAAAAATAGGAACGAATTTCGGAAATATTTGTTCTGGCGGCCTCAAACTTGCGCACTGAGGACCCGGAATTAGATAAAAAACAATTGAAAACGACCTACAACCATCCAAACGAATAATGGGTAAGCTAGGCAAAAAGAAGGTGGCCGAAGAAATGAGCCGCAAAAAATCGGAGGCCGTGGCCAAACAGAAGAACGGCAATGGCGACGTCAACTCTGACGATGGTATCGACTCCAAGGACGGCAGCTCCGATAAGAATGATGCCGCATCCTCGCTCAGCGGCAGCTCCTCCCAAAAGCAACGCTCCAATCAGCAAAAACGCAAGTCCTCGGTCATGGTCGCCAGCGTCGAAGCCGCGGGCGGCGCCCCTGATGCTGCCACCAAAGCCAAATCGAAATCCAAGTCCAAGTCTATAGATGGAGACTCCGATGATAGCGACGATCTGCCGCTGAATGGCAGAAAGAGTTCCAATTCGAACGAGTCTACTGGCGGTGGTCCGCCGGCCAAAAAACCGCGCAAACAGGCCAAACCCAAATCGACAAAGTCAGGCACGGCCCCATCGACATCCACAGCTGCGGCAGCGAAAGGCAAAGCCAGCAATAGCAAAAAGAAGGCAGCCGCACAAAATATTGCCGCCAATTCAGACAATGACTACGAGGACGCTGTCGATGATGAGTCGCTGGCCAAGTCCGATGATGATTCGGACTTCAAGCAGCACGATCTTGAAAAGGAGTACGAGGTCAGCGGAACATAGCAGATGTCCTGCCTTAGACTTGGTTTTAATCTCTGAAAATGATTTCCAGGTGGAGGCCATCATTGGCCACAAGAAGGTGCGTGGCGCCTCGTTTTTTCTGGTACGCTGGAAGGGCTACAGTTCCGACTCGGACACATGGGAGCCGGAAAGTGAATTAAATTGCGATGCTCTGATCGCTGAATTCCGCAAAAAGGTGCGCCCCGTCTCTTTCTAAGTTATTTTCCTCTTACCCTGCTCGTTTTCTCTTTCCCTCTCTCTCTCTCTCTCGCTCTCACGTTCTGTTTGGTAGGCAACGTCAACTCAAGGCGGACCGTTAAAGGGCAAGGGCAAAGGCAATGACAATGGCAATGTCAAGGTAAAGACCAAAAAAGAAGCATCATTAAAATTCGAAAGAGCTGCTGCTGCTGGCAAATCTGCTGGGGGCAAGAAGGCAGCACACGGCAAGCAATCGTCCAGTAAGAAGTCCACCGATGATCCCAAAAAGGAATGGGTGGTTGAGCGTATCATTGATTTCGTTGACGATGACGAGGCTGGCGGCCTGTATCGTATACGCTGGAAGGGTTTCGGCGCCAAAGACGACACATGGGAGCCCGAAATGAATCTCTCCTGCGAGGGTCTGATTCGGAAATTCAAGCGGGGCCTCGTCTCGCAGCACAACGTTGATGTCAAGGAGCTGCGAGAATCGCCCAAGAAGACCAAGCGACTGGTTAACGAGTGCTATCCACGCACCAATATAGCGAATCGCATCGAGCGCTCGTCCAAGCGGGCAGCTGCCAAGAATCGGTGAGAATAGAACAAACAAAATCGGTCGCTGATTGCTCGATTCTAATGCACCACTTAATACCTTAACTCGCACACAGTGTCTTTTATGGGGAGGAGTGAGATACGGCCTAGAGGGGGAAGACAACGGCGAAAAGCAAACGCCTGCAGTTCCCCATCTACATACACCCCATACCGATGGCGTAGATACCGGGTTAAATTTGCATAGAACTACAAACATTTTTCCTTTGATGTGCGCGAGTACGCCCGCGTGATGTCCTGGCACGAAGATCCAAGCCAAAGCATACACCCCGAACATAATTCCCCAACCACCCCCAAATCGATGCACAGATCCCACAGCAAAAAAACTTAGCAATTTAAATGATGGATTACAACGCAAGAGAGAAAGTTGAATTTCCAGCAATTAAATGTAAAAAGCCAGCCTCTGGAGGGGACAGGCCCGGGCGGGACCGGAGGCATTCGAAGACACAGATAACACTGGCATTAGTCTGTAAGCTTCTGCATCGTACTATCCTCGTAGTACTACCCGTTTGCATATGCATGCATATATGCAGTTACACCAGCGGAAGGTGTAGTTGAAGGTGCAAACGATTCGCTCTTCTTTTATGTATAATTAATAAATAATATACTGTACACAATGTAATACAAAAACACCCCAAAACACCCAGAATAGTTATTGACTCTTCCACGTATTCGCACTATTACTGGACTTCTTGTGAGGGGACTTTTGTTTCGCTTGATTCCCGAGCCTTGTCCAAGTTGAAAAATTCTGCAAAATAGCAACAGCCAGTTTAGGGCGTACCTCAAGTTGACGGCTCGACTCGAGACGCACAAGCGAATAGTGCAAAAGAGAACGCCCGAGAATCGCAAGAACAATAAAAAGGTGCCTCTCTTTCTCTGCTCTTTCTATGTACAAAGCAATTAGCGAAATAGTTAACTTTTAGGCTGCCAATTGGTGGATTAAAAATGATGCAAGTGTAATTGATTGTGGGTTTAACCTTTTTTCTTTGAGTTGCTTAGCGTTTATTTCACTTTTTCTTTCGACAATCAGTGTATAGAACGGGCTTTACGGTTCCTATTTCTTAGGGCCCTCTTTGTCATCGTTCGTCTCATCGCCGAGTTCGATGCAACGTTGGACACCGAAACCAGCCGCTTTTGGCTCCTCGGTCAATGAAGTGGGCTTGCCCTTAGGCTCGCTAGCAAAGCGACCATTGCGTGGACCGGATGGCGAAATCTTGTCTGCTTTTAGGTCCCGCAGTATTTCCTGCATATCTTTGGCGGTCAGATCCTCCTGCAACAAACGGTTGCATATTAGCTGTATATTTATGCCTGTACCCCACTCACATAGTAATCATCGTTGACCGCCACCATGGGCGCATTGACACATGCACCCAGGCACTCCACCTCGGAGATGGTGAACTTCTTGTCCTTGCTGATTTCCCCGATTCCGATGCCCAGCTGCTGCTTGCATGTCTCGAGTATCTCGTCGGAGCCTCGCAGCCAGCAGGGCGTTGTGGTGCACACCTGAATGTGGTACTTGCCGGTGGGCTTGCGCAAGAACATTGTGTAGAAGGTGGCCACCTCGTAGACGCGCATGTTCGGCAGGCCTAGGATCGCAGCCACCTTGTGCATGGCCGACAATGGCAGCCAGCCGTACTGGCGCTGGGCTAAGTCCAGCAGCGGGATCATAGCGCCGCGCTTGTGACCCTCCGGATAGATGCTCATGATCGCCTCCACGCGCTTCTTGTTCTCCGCCGTGAACTCGAACGGTATGTTGGGATTATCCTCGGGTGTGTCGCGGTGCACGAAAAGATTGTCGCTGCACTGGACACCGCTGGTGGCAATGGCGCGCATGCCGCCGCGCTGCAAAACGTTCGGATGGGACAGAATGTCAAATGTTATTGTTTTTCTAGTGTAACTTATATAACCCACGGAGGCGACTGGCTTTCCGTGTTTCATTGGCAAGTGGTGGGGCGGCCGCCCTGCGCTGCTGGGCTACTTACCACGGCGGCCAGCGTCTTCGAGGCACAACTCGTCAGCATTTTGGTGTTTCCCAGGCGGAACAACTCTACGAAGCAAGTGAAAATTTGCTGTTATATGAAATATAGTCGGTTTTCAACAAGCACCGCTGACAGCTGTTCCAGCGCACGCTTTACAGCACTGCTCAGCGCGGCCAAAGTTTTCGATATGTGCTAAGAGCAAATTGCCATCCAAGAGAAAGCACTGAAAACGGGTTTGTCCTGTAGTTCATGTAACTTTAACTATTGTTTTAATACAAATATAATAAATATAATATAATATAATAAAAACCACATCGAAAGTGCCAGCAACGCGTTTTCCAGTTCAAAAGAGGAGTCGATTATACTCTGCCTATCGATAAAATTCAATCTTAACCGAAACGACGCAACCGAAACGAAGCAGAAAACATGGATAGATTGCCAGCAGTAATGGAACACCTGGGCAATATGTGCGCCAGCTATCCCAAGATAGGCCAGTCTATGAAGGAGTTCGAAGAGGCACTGCAGAATAACAAAACACTGAAGAGCAGTGTTAACCGTACGCAATATATGCAAACACAAACACTACACGCAAGAACACCCACACACATTTAGTTCACCCATACAGGATTACAGTTACAGATTGAGGATCAGGAGGTGGATGCGAAACTGGTGGGAAAGGCGGCTCAATCCATGGATGACTGCAGGGCCGAGACAGAATTGGCGGCCAGAATAGCAACTGCCTGCTATAGCAGTATCCTGGCCATTGAAAATCACATGAGTGACGCCCAAGTCCAAGACGTTCTGCGATTAACTGTACACCTCAAGCAGGGGGAGATCATGGCGGAGATCCAGGGCGTGGAGAAACGTTGCGGCACTGTTAACGAGAGCAATGCTACATTAGAGAGTCGCAGCATTGGTAAAATTCGAGTTGGATATGTGCCACAAATATAACTCTCAACTTGGAATTTGTATTTTGGACATTTCAGTGCAGGAGTTCCGTCAGCTGAGGCGCACCATGAATGAGGCCGCCGACGAGCTGTTGCGTAATGAAAGGGAGGTGCAGGCCATGCTCCAGCAGTGGAGCAGCAAGATCAAATCCTCGACAGCCTATCGCAACAAGAAGATCGTCTATGTGCTCAAGCTGAGGAAGGAGATACACCAGCTTCGAGATGAGGTCGGTTTGTCGTCACCCCCCACCTGCAAATTTCTAAATCAAATGAAATTCCATTCGATCCCCAGCTAGTGAAACCACTCCTGCAGCCTGTTGAGAAGTGGGCAAAACCCGCAGACCCCTGTCCATCTGCGTGTTCCTCTGTAATGGCAGCGGCCAGCAACTTGATGCTGCAGTCGGCCACGACATTTGTAACCGACTTTCTCAACGGCCCCAAAGCGTCGCAAATGGAATGTAGTGGGGGGGCGCAACCGTTGCGCTCCATACTGGTGCAAGGCGAGCGCAAGCGCGCTGCAAGTCCCACCAAGCTGGTGCACTTCGCAGCGTCGCCGGTTTGTTCCAGCTCAAGCTACGATAACGTTTACGGAGCATTGGGCGCGACTTTCACCCAGGCAATTGATGACTCCCTAAAGGAATTTAATGACTTGAACGTGGCCACGCCACCAAAAAAGGGAAAAGTTACCAAAGTGGAGATACTACCAGCTATGGACATAAGCGCATTCCAGCCCCATGCCAGTGGCAATGCAAACTTGAAGGATTTCTCCAACTTATTTCCCAGCTTGGAGAGCCAAGAGCAGCAGGATATCATGGAAATTGATAACGAAGCGGCGAGAACTTCCACTAAGCAGCACCAGCCAGAAATGGTTTCGGTCGAGCAAGAAGAGCTGCTGTTTGTGCGTCCCACGACGGCGTTGAGCCATCAGCAGGATTCTATTGGTATGATGGCTACCACGAGTGCCACCTCGTTTCAATTTTCGGAAACGAGCTACGATCCCATTGACGATTTCATGATCAACTTCAGCGACGATAACAACGAGGATGATACACAAAACGGATATAATCTATAGAGCCATTACATAATATGACTATAGGAAGAAGCTTCCCACATTTAAAAATTTGTTAAATATTTCTATCCGTTAGTCCTACGTGAAAATCATATCTATTAAAAAGTAAAACATCCAACAAAATTTGTAAAAAAAATACCCTTTCAGTCACAATTAAAACGTTCATGTTGCGATTTTTACCCGAAATACATCTTGAATGGGCGATTTTTGTAAGTCCCGCCAATTATTTAAGTCGTGGTTCAGCACCAAGAGAATGTGAAACATCGATAGAAACTCCCACACGTATGTATTCTTTTAGTGGGGTATACGGTATATGTTAAAAATGACTAGGTATATTTCGGTATATTTTTGTGGGTTGTGAGCTAAATTTTATTGCGGGCACACTGGCTCTGGCGTAAATAAAACCACGAGTTCGAACCACAAACACTTTCGTGCGACCATCACATTTCGCGGTAGCAAATAAATAACAAAAACAAAGAACCACAAACAATTAATGGCTCGAGCACGAAAAATTCCAGTGCGCAAGCATCACGGCATTCGTGATCCTCTTAAACAGCAGGAGCAGAGGGAAAAGAAGTGAGTCCCTGCCAATCCCAATCAAACAAATGGCACTGAAATGTGGTTTCTGTTTGCGCCCGCCTACAGGTTGTCCAAAGTGACGAACAATCCGCCATCGAAGACCGATGAGCAGCATGTCTCCTTTAAATTCAAGCAGTTCCAACAGCTGTCAGACGGTGCCAGGGCCGGCAAGAAGCTGAGGCTATGCGAAATCGGCAAGGAGGACAAGCCCAAGTCCTCCGGGAAAGCTTTGGATATACAGAGGGCATCGAAAAACACGCGCAACATCAAGCAGTTCGCCAACGAGACGGACACGGACTATCTGCGCCGCGTGAACCGCATTACCAGTGCCTCGGTGCGTGAGGCCCAATACGAGGCCAAGTATGGAGTTAATGTGATACGCAACCCCAAGACGGGTGAAATAACAGTCCAGAAACGCCCCAAGAACGAAATCGACGAGCTGCTCAAGCAGAAGCAGAAGGAGCAACGTAACGCAGGGAGAAGGGTGCGCAAGAAGACGAACCAGAAGCCCACCATGGACGCAAAGACCAGCAAGGAGCTAATCAAACGCGCCTTCAAGGAGGCGAAGGAGGAGAAGTCGCCGGACGATGAAAATTCACCAATTGTCGAGTACAAACGCGATACGTTCGCCTTCGGTGATATTGTGCACGCGCCGCCAGCGTTAAAGACACGTCCACGCAAGGCGAACAAGGACGATACCACCGCCCGGCCTGGACGCAAGTCGAATCTGCTGCTCAAATCCTTGCTGGACTCGAGCCAGCAGCCATACGACACTGCTGACGCTCACAGCCCCATATCAGCAAAACCCGTCGCCACGCCCACGCCCAAAAAGTCTCCCAAAATATCCCTAAAGATGCAAATGAAGGGCAAGCGCAAGGATCTGCCCATCGGCATGCGGTCCATGCTGGAGACTGAGCGGGAAAAGATGGTCTTGCTGTATCGCAAGTTGAAAGAGCAAAAGGCTGAGAAAAGTACATAATATGAATTAATGGTTAAAATTTTCAGACTCCTTTAGATTTAAGCAAATGAGAAATGTTATATGCATATTTTTTGATTTTTTGATAAAGCTTAGTACTCAGATCGAAAAAAAGGGGCCGGTAAAAAAATCAGGGATGATATTCGTATGGAACTGATAAGAAATTGTTGTGAGCACAAGCACTAACCAAATAGTATAGTAGACTATTAGCCTCCTATAAGCGAAACGTCACCGCTAAATGTGCGTCTCGAAGTCCCAGGCCTCTGCCAAAGTCCCAGCTACAAGTATTAGTGCGTGTAAAACAAGCAGCTAGAAGCCCCAGCTACATGTGTATTAATGCGTGTAGGGCATACTATTTGGCTGATCGACAAAAAAACAGGCCAAAATAATATAGAAAGTCAGACGATAGTATTTGAGTGCTATTCATAGTATTTGTGAGATATTCGTTGGTGTGTTGCTAGCAGCTCGAAAAACAAAGATCTGTTTTAATTTCCGAGAGGGTACCTTGCAAACAGAGAGAATAGTTATAAAGCAAATGGAGGCAACAATGCCACTGAAGTTGAAAGAGAAATGACCACCGTGCTTCTAAACTAGCTTAAGGCCATCAAACGGCAAAAAGGAAAACAATTATTATAGATTAATGAGATTATATTGAATTTATTTGCATTTTTAATTTGTTAAACTTATTTGAACGCTAGTATCTTCATGTTGCCAAGACACATGCAAATTCTCTGTCATATTTTCAAACTGCGGAATATGCAGGGTATCGTTTTATGGGTTTTCATAAATGTACACAAATTTATATGAGCTATAATACTCAAATGCATATACAAAGACCGTTCTGGTTTCTTTCCTGCAGATATGGGTTTAATCAAAGTTGGCCAAAGTTGTATTTCGCTGATTGTCCTCCTCCTCCGATCATGCAAGAGCCGCCAATCCCACTAAAAGCAATCTCCTGATAGGATACATTTATCATTCATTGTTTTATTAACCTTTTATTCAATTTTCACACAATTTCAAAAAGGTAAACAAAACAACACAGCTGCCTGAGAAGTGTAACCGTACGGAATGCGGTTTTCATCTCAGGTCACACACTGCTGCTAGCAAAACATATTGCACATTTTGCTAGCAAGTTTTTTTTTCGATCTGAGTACTAGGCTTAATACAAGATTATAATTTGATAACGAAAGTTTGCATGTTATTTGAAATGAGGCAGCTGTTGCGAATGTTGGGCTAACTTTGTTTTTTTTTATCGATATTTCGACGGTATATTTGAAAAATTGCAATGATTACTATATTTATAGTATATTTTTGGGGGTCATATGGTATATTTTATCGATAGTCTGCGCTCACTATGGAAAAAACGAAAAAAAAAAAATGTAATTAGCATTTTCGTCATTGCCCGCGCTAGAAACGTCAGACCGTTAGAAAGTAAATGAATAGTACAAATTGTGAACAGTGTGGTATTTCGGCCTAGTTAAAAGAAATAGGGGCATTATATTCGTTCGTCTCCTCGATTTTTTTTCTGTTTTTATTGATTAAATTGTGACGGGAACACACACACACACGCATCGTCGTTGACAAAGGCAGAG